TTGATTTGCATTTTTCGGCTCAAAAAAAAAAAAAACGTTTTCTGCACAAGATAAAAGGTTAAGCAGATAGGGTCAGAAGGCACTTCAAATGAGGTTCCTCTACTTGAAGAAAAAAAAGCGTTTTATTGAATAGTAATGGTGCATTTTCACCATCGTTTAGCTGTATATTCCTTTTAAACTTTTCATTTTTCGCGAGAATAATGCTGTCACGTAGCAAGAAACTTTTCTGCTCTTGTTATACGGACTTTTTGATACCAACCAGACCGAATAATGTTACTGAAATTTCAGATGACACCTTACTACGATACAGATTTCAACCTTTTACGCTGGCTACAGGGTCATGACTACAAACTTGATATCATTGTACCCAAGTTGCGAAACCATCTATTGTTTAGGAGATCGGCTTGGGACCTAGATAATTACGCTAAAAAAAAAAGAGACCATCCAATTCATGCTCACTGGAAGGTATGACAATATTTTAACCACTGTTTAAAACAATTTTTTGTACTTTTTTTCATTTTTTACTTGACAGCAAAGCTGTTAGCATATTGCACGTGAATATAATGCAAAATGAAATTGAGACGTTTTTTTTAACCTTCCACAACATAGGTTTTATATGTACCAGGAAAAATGCAACAAAAAAAAACCAGGAAGAAAAAGAAAAGAAGAAAATTAACGATAGCGAAGGTTTGGCTAAAAAATAAGTGTGAAGATGAATGTCAGTTTCTTAATAAGAAATTTTAAACGTATTTTCTTTGCAGCACTTTATGTTTCAACCAATTTCGTGTATCTTTTATTTTATTTTATTCACTGATGAAAGAATATGGTACAAAAACGGCACAGGAAAACACAAAAAAGATTAAATTCTTTCCAGAGCGGTCTTACTGGACGGGCAGTTTTGACACCGAATGCTGTAGTAAACATTGAACAAACTGGATCCAACGATTATACAGGACTACTTCGAAGTTATACGGGTTTGGAAATTCTGAAAGCTCGTTTATACGATCTAGAACTTATGTTAAAAGCTGTAATGGATTTGGAAGCAGAAACTGGTAATTTATTGGTTCAGTAATGTGTATTAAGAAATTATCTACCATAGAGTAAATATAAAACAGAAATGAAGTAAAATAATTTGAGTTTGGCTATTCTTCTATCAAAAGACTGTCCAAGAAAAATTTTTTTCAGTATAATTAGTTGAGTTATTTTACTGTAGTCACTTAGATAGTAATTACTAGTTTGAACAGTACTGAAGGAAGTGTAACAGTTAGGAGGGATTTTTTTGAAGGATTAGTTTTTTAGTGTGTGTTATTAAATTTTCAGTAATAATAGACACTAAAAGTGACATTCTTCTTTTTTTTTTTTTTTTTGCAAATTTTTCTAGTTTTTTGATGGCGTAATGCAATGAGAAAAGTTTGTGGAAATGAATTGAAAAAAAAACTTTATATGAGGTAATAAAGAACTGGAATAATTACTAATATCCAGTTCTTTAGTATTGTAACTGCAAAATGATTGTTATTATTTAGCGCTATTGTAAATATTAATAACTATAACAATAATATGGTAATTAATGCTTGTCTTTTTCTCAGGTGAACAAGCTTCAATTTTGTATGTTATGGATTTGGAAAATCTAAAATTTGACAAGAACTTGTTGGGTTTGATAACTGGGCCGTTGTCATCGGTAGCGACAATAATGAGTGAGCATTACGTCGAACTGATACATACATTCGTTCTTGTCCATGTGCCAACTTTTATTTCAACTTTATGGTATATTGTGCTTTCATTAGTATGCTCTATTTCACTTTTTCTTACCCTATTTTTTTCGTCGTATTTGTTCAATTGCCACTTTAATTGTATCTTTTGAATTATTCTCAAATTTATTGCCTTTCTAGCTTTTTTTTTGCTTTTTTGTTTCAAATAAATAAAAGCACACTTTTCTAGCCAAAAAAAGTAGCACTTTGGTGTGTTTCTAAATTGTTGATAAACGTTTTTTTTTAACTTTTTAATCTTTAATTATTTTGGCAATACTGTTTCAAATGAAGAAAAGAAAAATTTATCAAGTCAAAAAATTGCGAAATGAAGACTAAATAAGGCGGTAAAAAGACAAGCGATACTACCGACATATCTGTTGTAACTGATATGTATATATATTTTTAGGGCATTGGCAAGGCCATTGTTACCGGAAAAAACTCGAAATAAAGTAAAAATATTTGGTTCAAATTGGCGTGAAGAAGTTGTAAAAATTGCTGTACCTGAAACGTTACCAACATTTTGGAATGAACCAGGCGAAGATGTTAGTAAAAAAGCTAATTATACACTTAGTGACCACATACAGTTATCTCTACTTTTTTTTTTAGTAAGTCGGAGTAAGTTCGTCTTCCTTGTAGCAAACTCATACTGTATGAACAAAACTGTGTAGTTTTTTAATTTATAGAAGAAGCTGGACCAGATTTATTTACTGTCTGTAATCTAAATATTGCTGCAGCGTATAGTAAACAGTAAGATTAATTTTGACAAGAAATTGGTGTAATTATTTGTTTTTTTTTTGTTTTTTGAAGCTTTTCAAAGCACCAGTAGAACGGGCTGTACCGTATGATCCAGCTAACTATATTGACAAAACGGCAATTTTGGAAAATATGGAAGTTACAGCAGTTCCACCTGGAAAAACTTTGCTGATACCTGGTTACGGAACAAAAGTATGGCTTCTTGCTTTTTTATTTTACAGATAACACATATCTTCCGACTTTTGGCTTATTTTTCTGTCAAAGCTAAACACTGGCAACAAGTGCTTGAAACAAATAATTTTCCTACATCTGTTTATCATTATATGGTCAGTCTAAATTTCCATGTTCAAGCAAACAGATGGCAAAGTTTTTGTCAAAGTTTCAATCTGTCTATCGTTCGTTAACATGTATCATCTTTGTTTGTTCAGAAATTTTTTGATAAGCAACTAAAAAGTAAGCAGAAAATAGCGAAGTTAATGGAATATATTACCTAAATGAATGTCTTTCCTGTGGCTTTTTTCCTTCTTTTCAGTATCGGTCAATTAATATAATTTTTTTTCATTAATTGCTAAAGCAATGTTCTACTGTGATTACAATTTTCGCAAAAATATCTGACTTTTTTTCCGGCATTCTATAATTTATCAGAATCTTTCTACAGAACAGTTGTACTTATAAAACTTAGTTTTTATTAGGCTGGAGGAAACCGGTAGAGCAATTTAAAAAACCTCTTAAAGTAAATTGCTCCTGTGTCAAAAACGTACCTTTATTTTCAGGGTCAAGTAATGCATTGGAAAGTTGATGCTGACGGCAACTTTGGACTTTGTCTTTATTTTACTGAAGATGAAAACGAAACGGACCTTGACAAAATGAGACCTGTTTTTCCAAAATTTTCAGTTAGATCTATTTCTTCCTTATCGCTAAAAATTTTTTCTTCAGATTTGCATACTGTTTATCGTATTTATGAACGATGACATTTTTTTATTATTATGGGGCTTTAAAAAGCTGTCTTTGATAGTAATAGACACTTATTTTTGGACTTTAAAAGCAATACAAGGTTTTTGTTAATATCAGTAAGAAAAGAAAAAAATTGTTGCTATTAATATGTTTAGACAGAAAAAATTGTCAATAAAAGTTGACAAAATAAAGTTTACCTGTATCTGTAAATTTGAATCTATTTTTGGTTTTTTAATCAAACAATTTTGATGTGTCAATTATGTATTTTGGCCAACAATTTTAGAAAATACCTGGACCGACAGTTGTTCCAATAGAGGATACAGTTATCTGTGACAGTACCGGATTCTATAAGCTATGGTTTAGCAATGCTCATGCTTGGTTTCATACACTAAAGTTGCATTACAGTCAAGTATTTCAAGATGCTCCCGCAAATTAGTCAAAAAAAAAAAAAACATTGATTTCCTCAGTAAACTGCCCAAGCAAATTTGGTTTTGCTACTGATTGTTTTTCAGATATATATTTACATAAATATTTATATCTATTTTCACCTGCTGCTTTTTTCACTTTTTGTTGTTGTTGATGTTGTTAGTTCGACATATCGGACAGTTGAAATGCAGTGATAATGCAATTACCGAATAGTTTTCAGGTTTCAGTTAAGCTTATCAGATTTTCTAAACCGTTTTCTGTTACTGTTTTTATTGGCTCATAGCAATTGAGTCCATCAATAATTTATTATGTTAGATTTGCTCAGCATTGTACAGTTGGAA